TTAGTTGTTGATCCTCTAACCTTGTGGCATTTGATCCTCCGAGCAGAATGCTCAGTCCTCTCCCACCCAGGGCTTTCTCCCTCAATGGCCGTCATTCTCCAGATCGCAACCTAAAATATAGTTCTCTAAATATTCTCTAAACACAGCTCTCGGTATACAAAATGATGTATGAGAATTCCTGAATAATAACCAACAATTATGAGGAAATCCCGAACCCTGAATGGGTATGTTAGAAGCCTTCCCATCATTATAACTTCCAACCTTTCATGAATGACCCTCCTACTTTATGATTAATGAAGCATCTTGTAAGTCGAATCCCTGATCCATTATGGCTTATAGATGCTAGCATAATAATTCTAACAAGAGACTACACGGATAACTATCCATTCACAATTAAACCGTGGATCAAAATTTCATACCTTTGATTTTCTTGCATTTCAACCTTGAACTCCTATCGAACGATGGGCATTTGGGTTTGCACTCCCTCCGCTACCCATGTAGGACAATTGAGTTTGAGATGACTTAGCTGGTGATAGTGGAAATGCATACGATCCTTGTTGAAATCACGAAATACATGCCTCTTTCTCCACACTTATAGAATTTGAACTTGTGGCAAGCAAACCTGTGTGTTCCCCCATACTTCCCGTAGATGTCATAGTTCCATTGAGTTCCAGTACCTATGTTAGAAGCCTCGAACTCTTCGTCCATTACTGAGGGAGCCCTCCTTTACTTTTTGAGTCATGTCCGCACATCATGATCTCCCCCATTAGTTATCTTAATAGTCTCTCTCACAAGATGCAAAGTTGCAGTTCACTCCTCGAACTTGGCAATTAGCCTGCTAATGATTTGATGCATGATACCAAACAATTCTTCTTGTAATATCTATGAGACCTCAATGATAATCATATCCTGTATCTGAGCAACAATCACCTTCGACCTATCCTGACCATTAGCTCTAGATCTGGAACTAGATCCCCTTGTGCACCCCATACTAAAAACAAACCAAAAATGCATCAGGAGTGCCAGAATACGCATTTCTACAACCACACGACGAGACTATGCCTTGAGTTAGTGACTTCCTCTCTACGCATACGGGTCATGTGGTTTCAGTATTATGGGCCCATACTACCTTCCACACCTACTCGTATTTGTTTCAAGGATCATCACAACCACCCAAAACAAATACCACAACTAGGTTATGCATACATCCTATCCTGACTCTCTCGAGAGTGACTAATCATTCCAAACCTAGCCTGCTACATCCATACTCACTCATAATGATACTCCTAACACTTTCTAAAAAAATGCATCATGAGTGCTACATGTTCCCTAGGTTATCCTAGGATCCACACCTAGCCCTGAAAGACCCCCATTGGTTCTAGTTAACTTCTTCATGAATACAATCAGATGTAACATAACTTAAATAATCTTAAATTAAAAGATTCAACCCTACAACAGTTGGACTCAGACCAATGTTGCACAATAGGACCAAATCCTTAACTCTAAAGTTATTTAACCATGTAGTATGTGACTTAATGTATTCAGTTAGTAGTTAATTCACACCGGAAAGAGTCATACAAACAATAAGCAAAAAGCTCTATAGGAACAAGGCATCATACATTAGACAATTCTATAATCCAATTCCTGAAGATCCGTAGCCTATCTCTAGCACACTGTTCTATCATAAATATCATATCAAATAACAGTGTGGGTAATTTGGAGTACACTTTCTTACTCCGGCTGATCGTACACATCGCATCCTTCCTTGGTTACTTTTGAAAACAATATTTGAAAAACATTTTTAAAAGTTTGTTTTGAAAGCTTTTACAGATCCTTAGTTAGAGTCTGAATTCACACGAATGCTCATCCAATCCTCTTAAACCAGGGCTCTGATACCAACTTGTAATACCTGAAAGATCACAAAATATAAAATTTTAAAAATAACCATTAACTAACATCATTTACAAAAAGAGTCATTGTTTCAAAAGCATTATTCAAAATCAGAGTTTTTCCCAAGACCCAATGACATAAAATAGGAAGATGTACATGATCATGCCTTTACATTTCCATGATCATCAGAAGTACCTGAAACATTAAACTGAAACTGTAAGCCCAAGCTTAGTGAGTTCCCCCAAAGTATCAACACACTACATAATAAACAAAGCATGAAAATATGAGCCTTCAATATGATTGGACTGCCTCTCATGTGCTACAGCCTATCTAGACCGCTCTACGAGACTTCGGCATGACTGGACTACCTCGCAGGGCCTACAACGTATCCGGACCACTCTACGGGATGCTGGCTTGACTGGACCACATCGTAATGACTACAACTTATCCGGTCTTCCCCGAGTGTCTTGTCCTTCAACACAAAGTAGGACAGCCTCAACCCAAACATAATATGTCGTCATATGTAATAGAGAAACATAAACACATAACCAACAAATACAGATATACTAATCAGTCATATACCATCATAACACTTTCCTATAACCAGGATGACATAATCTAGTGGGCTGATATTGGTGCCTACGACCCACTGGTACACTGAGGAAAACTCACCTCTCAGTCTGAACGCAAGCTATATAAATCTCTACTCCAAAAACCCGCTCTACCCGACACCTATTATCCAAAGTATTTCCCAACTAAAATTAATACCAAATTACCCAAAATTCCCTTAGGTCAAACTTGGTCAAGGGTTAAATTCAATAAACCAACCGAGTTAACCAACCCGAGTACGCTAGGTGTACTCATCTATAAGCGGGGCATACTTTGATTGGCCCATAAGTCAGGACCTTGACCGCGTACGCGCATCGTACCTCTTGGTATGCCCAACGTATGCATCCAATTATCCCATTATCTCATTAAGAGCTTAATACATCTATTCTTTACATCCAAAGTCTTACCCAAGCCCCAAATGATCTCCTTGACCATAAAGTTTCCAACTTTATGGTCTTGCATGGCCAAAAAGTGCTTAACACTAAAAACCTTAACTACGTAACCCATTAAGACCTTGTAGAACATGCATGGAAGGGAAGAAATGAACAATAACACCTTTTTATGCTTCTAAACACCTCAAAGCGTCTGAAAGGACAACTTAAATGAATTGAGTGGTTCATATTAAAAATACCCAACTAATGGAACCAAAAGGACACAAACATCATGGCTAACTTAGATCTATGCATATCTTCATCAAGTTCAAAGCCTTTTACCTTAAAGTGATGACAAATGGTGATGAGTTGCTAGATCCAAAGAGTCCTACTTCTTCAAGATGATATTCTCTTCTTCCCCTCTTTTTCAAGGTAGCAAAAAAACACACACACACACAAAGCTCAAGAGTGATTAAAAATGGATTAGGATTCTTTTTGGGATGAATGCAAGTTGAGGCTGATGAAAAAGGGAAGGTTGGGGACTTAAGGGTGTTTAAATTGGTTCAAAACCCTAAAACTTAGGGTTTGGGAATCATTCATGTACACCCCGCATACATTTGCTCACCCCAAAATTTCAAAAATGCCACTATGGGCTATTTTGCAAGCTTTCTCATGCACAAGGGCCAAAATGCAATAATTCTTCATACTTATGATTAAAATCTAAAATACCTCATCACTGGGATGTTAGAAAATCCCTAGGCTATATGGAATTTTTAGCATCAGATAATTCTAATGAAAGGACCTTAGATCAATCGATGTATCAAACAATGAGTAATAATAAGAACATACCAACGAAATATCACAAAGAGCTTTCACTAAGAATGATAATCTCACAAAGAGATTATTGTTCGCACAAAGCGGCTATTAGGGTTTGTGAAAGACAACCACTTCACAAACCCGTACAAAAGACTATATAGAACTATTATAGACAATCCCTACAAATCAGGGATGTTCCAGCTAACTAATATACAATAACTATGGAAACAAGATAAATACTAAATCTGTTACATTAAAGAAATTACATATACTGAACAATTTATACGCTGACGCTGATGCTGATGTTGACGTTGAAATATATGCTGATGCTGAGTGATCAGTTTCAAACATCATCATATTATAAAGTTTGACCTTACAATCTCCCCCAATATGATGATGTTCAAAACAACAGCTATACTAGAACTCCTCTGGACAAAAATTCTTCATACTCAGCTTCAGCTTCTATTTTCACACGCCAGTAAGGACTATCCAACAGCTCATGTCTTCTATTCAACAACTCCATAGCAATCAGTATGTAAAACTCTTCAGATAGATCTTGATGACTCATGCACATTTGTCTTAAGCCAACAAGATGTGCTGTTGGAGCTCTTGGAATTTCCGTGGTGCGCTGAAAGCACATTCTTCTGTTTTTATCGAGATAAAACATTCCATGTTCAGGAACAGAGATGAACTTATGTTGAACCGGCTCAACACCGATAGGAAGAGAGTTGTTTATTCCCTCAGCACCAAAATTTAAAACCAACACATCTTCACTATCAACTTGAAATATGGTCCTTCTGATTCTTGGAGCCAAGAACTTTGACCTTGCTGCTGAGAACGCTGCGTAGGAACAAGATCCAGACGCTAAACTTTCTTGATCAGTAAATGGAGAGCACAGGTCAGTTCTGAAGAGAGAGCCGAAGTTTGCTTGGATGCCAATTCAAGAAATTCAATCCATTCAGAATATCCGTATCTGATCAGCTCATCCCTCTTGACAACTTTAGTGTATGGATGTTGAGGACCTTGACGAGTGATCAGCAAAGTAAGAATTTTCTCGTTACGAGGTTTAGTGGCTTTAACCTTGATGATCTTATCACTTCTCACTCGTCGTTTAAGAACATCTTGAAATCTCTTACGATCAATCCCGTCGAGAACATTTTCAGTCCTTGACTTGCTACTGCTGGGAGGAGGCTGAGAAGATTTGGATTTGGAATGATATTCTAAGAACTTTTGCATCTGAGCTTCAAAAGATCCTTTGGCCTAAAGTTTATGCTGAATGAGAGATTCATCAGCTTGAGCAATATTCTTTAGAAGCTAAGCTTGATTGGCTTCATCAAGAATTTGCTTAACTTGATCAGGAGACATGTTCCATTCAGCTGCCAAGTTAGATATGCTGGCGATGGACTTAGGTTTCTTGCTAGGCAGAGAAGTATCAGTGTGTGAAGAAGCCAATTTAGTATCTGCTGCCTTGCGGTTACGAGATAGAGGTTGAGTATCCTCACTAGCTACATCAGAATCTTCTCCTTCGACTGGCATAATGGGATCAATGAATTTCATGTCTAGCATTTGACATTCATCATCATGTTCATCTTCATCATCATCTGAGGCTTCCCCTTGAACTGGAGTAGTGGGATCAATGAAGTTCATGTCCAGCATCTGACACTCATCATCATGTTCATCATCATGCTCACTATCTTCAGCAAGCTTTTCAGTATCTGCTGGTCTATCAGGCTCCTCAGCAACTGGTCTATCAGACTCCACCACAGGTTGTGGTGGCTCAGTCTGGTTTAAGGTGTTATCCTCAGATCCGAGCTCAACAGATTCACTGTCTCCCTCTTTTGGATCATCATCATCATCAGTTTCTCCCCCTTTTTGATCATCATCATGTTGTGGGCCAGGGGAAGGAGGTGGCAAAAGAACTCCCTTCAGTTGATGGACATCGGCCTCAATTCATAAAAGACGCTGACTCATGTCCCGAGTTAGTGTAAGTAGCTCATTGAATGCTGAGGCCAGTATATGAAGAAATTGAGTACCTGGAACTTGTTGGGAGAAAGGTTGCTCCCCCGGAGAAGGGTGCTCCCCCTGGGATGGTTGCTCCCCCTGAGATGGTTGCTCCCACTGAAATGGTTGCTCCCCTTGAGCTGAGTGAACTCTCTTAGCGACAGAAAGAGTATGATGAGAAAGTTGAGGGGAGAGATGACCACCATCCTGTGATTCAGCTTCTTGATCAGCATGATCTTCGTTGTTACCATCAGCTCCTTCATCAGTATCAACGGTTAGTGAAGGAACAGTATATGGATTTGCAATCCATTCTTTCATCTGATCAGAGATGCCGATGTCAGTTTCGAACGGATCATCCTGATACATTCGCACTGACATGCGTGGGCATTGGATGGGGTTTCTAGAGTGTGAGTAATAAGCTTCAGCGAAAAATTTATCTAGCACAAGAGCAATCCAGCGTGGAAAGGGGACATGATCAGCACGTACATTTGCACGAAGAAGTTGAACAAGCTGATCAAAGAAGAAAGCCCCATAATCAAGTCGTTTGTTGAGAACAAGGGAACAGATGACTTGTTGCTCATAAGTGCTCAGTTGATCACAACTGCGAGATTTGTGACCCACACATTTGCACAGAGCACCGGTGAAGAACTTCCATCCTGGAGTCATACATTGACGCAGAATGAGAGCTGATCGAGTACGAGCCTTTGAGTGATCATATCCTAGTTGGTCAAAGAGACGTCGACAACGTTCAATAGGTGGAAGCTCAGAGAAGGGTTCAAAGATTGGTATCCTGAGTGCAACACTGAGGAGGCCAGCGGTAATAAAGACTGAGTGTCTTCCACGACTAATAGTCCCGGAGATGACGTTGTTTTCATCATTAATTGTTGCAGTGTAGTAGAACTCACATACTTTTTTGGGAAAGAACTCTGATGGAACGTCACTGATTGCATATCGGAGTCGGCAGGAGACTAAGAAATTGACAAAATCATCAAGTCCAAGACCTCGATGAACATCTGGAATATCAGGGTTGAAAACTATGTTGGTGGCTTTGATGTATATGGGAAGAGGAGGAGAGTTTGGAGCTGGGACGACTCTTCTTGAAGTAGAGGAGAAGGTGAACAGTGATGCCGCCATTGAAGAAGTTTAGGATTCTAGGTTTTTTTTTTTTTTTTTTTTTTTTTTTTTTTTTTTTTTTTTTTTTTTTTTTAAGAGGGAGAGAAGATTGGAGGAAGGTAAAAAGGTTTGGGGAAGAGGTGAAAAGGTTTAAATAGGGAATGAAACGGTAAAAAGTAATGATTATCTTTAGCGAAAATAACTGCGTATCTTGACAAACTGTCAAATCAAAAAATAGTCGTTGGGTAAATAGAGTCGTTGTACCAAAGAGGAAACGACAATCAGTGACTGCGGAAGCGCTGAGATTGCTATCACGAAAAGTTACATGCTGAAAGATAGTTTGTCGTCAATTCAAGGTACAACTTGCTTGTTTAGGGTTAGCAAGGTGATTGGTGCGTGTGATAGATACTAGTTTAATTATCTAACCATCGCTACAGAGTGTTGTGTCTTTATCAGTTAGTGGTATTTCTTACTGAATCATTAGACACTGAGTGAGAAGAAGGTGAAGAGAGGATTGTTGCGTGTGATAGACACTGGTGTTTTGGTCTAACCATCGGCAAAGATTGTTAGATTCTCATCAGCATGTGTTTTGTCACACCGAATCACAGAATTAGTGTAAGATTGGTAAGAGTGGATAGTTGCGTGTGATAGAACTTGGTGTTTTGTCTAACCATCGGCAAAGAGTTTCAAGTTGTTATCAGTGTATGGTTTAATACAGTGAATCATTCAACTTTAGTTTAGAAGATTTGTAGAAGAGAGAGAGATAAGAGATCATACAATAAACTCAGCATGCTAAACATCATCAGCGCATCATCATCAGTACAAAAAAAACATTAGTGTATAAGACAATAGCAAACATTAGTAAAACAATTTTTCAATCGAGAGTGATCATTCCAAGTTCGCCAATGATGTGAGCATTAGTTTGAGTATCCAGGGCCATGGTGAAAATGTCATCTAGTTGATCGGAAGTCTTGACATGCTTTAAAACAACCTTGCCCTTCTCAACATTGTCTCTGATGAAGTGATGTTTGATCTCTATATGCTTTGTCTTTGAGTGCTGAACCGGATTCTGTGTGATCTGAATGGCACTGGTGTTATCACAGAATATAGGAGTCTCTATGAATTTAAGCCCATAGTCTAAAAGTTGATTTTGAATCTATAAGATTTGAGCACAACATCTTCCAGCGGCAACATACTCAGCTTCTGCAGTCGAGATAGCTACTGAGGTTTGTTTCTTGCTGGACCAGCTGATTAGTCGATTTCCAAGGAAATGACATCCGTCTGACGTGCTCTTCTTGTCTAAGTTGCAACCTGCATAGTCGGAATCAGTGTATCCAAAGAGTTCAAGCGCTGAGTCACAAGGGTACCACAGTGCCAAGTTCTGAGTGGCCTTTAAGTATCGAAAGATGCATTTGACTGCAATGAGATGAGACTCCTTGGGATTAGCTTGGAATCTAGCACAGAGAATGGTTCCAAACATGATATTAGGACGACTTGCAGTGAGGTAGAGAAGGGATCCAATCATTCCTCAATAAAGAGAGTGATTAACATCAGCGCCAGTTGGATCAGCGTGTAGCTTATTAGTTTTGGACACCGGAGTAGAAGCTGGTTTGCAGTCGCTGAGAGAATACTTAACTAGCATGTCAGCAATGTATTTACTTTGACAAATTGAAATACCTGATTTTTGTTGCTGAACCTCAAGACCTAAGAAGAAAGTCATCTTCCCCATCATGCTGATTTCGAACCTTTGAGACATGATCTCAGCAAATTCTTTGCTCAGCTTCTCATTTGGAGATCCAAAGATGATGTCATCGACATAGATTTGAACAAGAATCATTTCTGAGCCTTTCTGTTTGATGAAGAGAGTATTGTCAATTGCTCCTCTTCTGTAGCCATTTTCAAGAAGATATGATGTCAGTGTCTCATACCAGGCCCTGGGAGCTTGCTTCAGTCCATATACAACTTTATGTAGGCGGTACACATAGTTAGGGTGCTCTTTGTCTTCAAAGCCTGGGGGCTGTTTGAGAAATACCTCTTCTTGTAACTCACCATGAAGAAATGCCGTTTTGACATCCATTTGGTAGACAATGAAGTTTATGTATGAAGCGTATGCGAGAAACAGTCTGATTGCTTCAATGCGGGCAACTGGAGCAAAAGTCTCCCCGTAGTCGATGGATTCAATTTGAGTGAACCCTTGAGCAACAAGTCTTGCTTTGTTGCGAGTAATAATACCATCTTTATCAACCTTGTTGCGGTAGACCCAGCGTGTTCCGGTGATGGTCTTTCCTGATGGTATGGGAACAAGCGTCCAAACCTTGTGCATTTCGAACCCGTTCAACTCATCTTGCATGGCCTTAATCCAGTCAGCATCTTGAAGAGCTGAGTGTATCTTGTCAGGTAAAATCATTGAAATGAAATTAACGTACATGCAAAAATTATTAGATACACGAGATCTGGTTCGGACACCATCATGAAGATTCCCAATAATTTGATCAACAGGGTGATCTCGATGTCCAGAAGCTGATTCCACTGGATTTGACGCTGAAGTGTTATTGCTGACGGGAATATCAGTTGCAGGAGAGTCTTCATTCTCAAGAGTTTCATCAGCATCAGACAAATGAGTTGTTGAGCTGACCGCAATATCTTGATTCAAGGAATTTGGATCTGGAACGATAGGATCAGGAATAGTAGCTTCTTCTTCAGTGTGAGAAACTTTCATCATATGGGCAAGAGAGAAGCTCTTGAAAAATAGAGGAAGAATGAGCTACTTTTTCATCAGTGTATGATTCCTCATCAA